CCCCCCCCCCCCCCTTTCTAAATCCGCCACCGCATACCAACAGTTAAAACCAGTCTGTGCCATAAACATTTAATTTTACCAGGCATTCAGACCACTGGTTTCCTAAAGTCTACTAATATAAATCAGATTTTACTGGTCCAAACAAATAAAATTTTCAATGAGACGTGGCAATTTTCCTTATTGCATTAATTTAGTATCAGTAAAAACAAGACCTTGATTTTATCAAACATTTTTTAGAATCATCATGTAATGGTGACATTTCAGAAAAATAGCTCTTATGAACACAGAGAGAAAAATAAATCTAATGGACACATTTTACCACTGAATTCAGTCTGAAAAATCTGCTGGTCCAAACAAAAATCCCAGTGCATATATAGAACCAGTGACTATGATCCTTGCAGACTGTAAAACAACATCAAACATTGATATTTTTTAATATAATTACATAAAACAAAGAAATTCATGTGGTTGGATGTCAACAAAGACATCTAAAAAAATGGTACGCTTACCTCAATCACTTCCAGAGGAAAAGAAACAATTTTGGCATATTTTATCACTATCTGTCTCACTTCAACACCTACAAAATAAACCATGAGGTGAGAGATCAAACATAATGTCTATGGTTATGACTCATTCTTTTTAATGGGGAAAATTATCAATCTTTCAGATACATAATTTTGGAATCAATGAAAATCATTTTTTAAGCATTTGTGATGCTTTTACTATAAGGAATAGAACTAGAAGTTAGACCCCTTTTCAATTCTGTTGCTACCAATCAATAGGAATGTTCTCATTTTAAGAATTTATGACCTTAAAAATCCAGTATCTGTTAAATTCACAATTTTTAATTCCCTAGTGAAAAGATAAGAGGGTTTTTTTAGTAAATGCCAAGAAAATGCCTTAAATTTAGAAATTCTGGTGAAGTACCCAAGACCCTTTAAAACACTCATTTTGGCTGCGCTGTATTCTGCAGCAAAGTGAGTTTTGGGAAAAATCTGAACAATATGTCATACTCTATATACATTTACAGGACATGTTGATTAAGAGAATTACTAAACCTTCAAGTCATTGGAGGTTAATGGTATTTGTACATTAATTAAACAAGTTTAAATGTGCTAACAGCATTAAAAATGCATATGCAGTGAAAATTCACAGTGCTTGCCCATTTTGGATCACCCCCCCCCCCCCCCCCCCCCTTTTTCAAGACTTGCATGAGAGGTGGAGCATCTGCAGACTTTACGAAAGGCGTCGGACCGTCGGACATGCCTGGCAAATTTCGTCTCGGTCCGATAAAAAATCCTGTATCGTCGGACCTTATGTCCGGCGGGTTTTCAAACTGACTGGGAATGTGTAAATATAAGGAATACGTTGTTGTTTCTTTTCTGGACGATATATTTTTCTTCATTCGAAAAGAGAGACGGAGTGAAAATCTCGGGGAGTTCCCAGCTAATTATACATAATTTATTAACCTCAGTTTCACTCACAAATACTATTTTGTGACTGGCTGAGGTTGGGGAATTCCTGAATGATGTAATGTACAGTCTCGTTTTCGTAATACTACACAACAAAATGGCCGCAACACTTGTGCTCGTGCTATTTGCGTTTTTAGAGACTTGATCCTCTGTTTCTTAATTATCAGTCGTATACAGTACTCATGGATAAGCCTTTTGCTTAGAAAATGACGTTGTTGAACTTTAAACACTTCGTTGGTGCAAAGCGTGGCAAAAATAAAAACGAAGTGAGGAAGGGAAACGGAAGTTTAATAAAATAGTAAAGAAGGTAGGCCCTGGCGGACTTATAATCTTTAGGAGAGGAAAATAGTGTGTGCCGAGTGTCAGGAGTACTAAAGTTATCATTTTGATCGATAGCAACATAAATGTTACAGCTTTATTACGGGTTCTTAAATTATGGAACATATGTACGTATTTGCATGTACCGTTCATCACGAGTTGGAGAAGGTGCACATGAACTTGATGAAAGCTCACAGTTTGAGTTTCTTTTTATAAAAAAAGAAATAAAATGAAGAAGGAACTTAGACTCGGACTGGACAGTCCCTGTCAAAGCTTCAATTGGATGAAAGAGACTGTCTTACTGTGCTGTTTCAAAATGCATATGTTATTGCCAAAAACAACGTGTGAAATGGTTATCTGATTAACAGACGTTTTTATGGACATACATTTGATATTACTAGCTACACATTCTTTATACTTGTAATGTTTTTAGTCCTTGTGTCATTCCACAGTGTCTTTTTCATTAAATAAAAAACAACTTGTTATGCAAGTAATTTTTTGCCTTTTTTTTTTTTGTTTTTCTTTCTTATTTTACTTTTTTACAAATAAATATATATCAAATAATTAATATTTGATTTAATGTCAATTATTTAAAACATTAGAAAATACACATGAAAACATGAATAATGGTTTATATTTCTATTATTTTACTTCGGTCTGACAGATTTTGTTTCGGTCTGACAGAATTTTCAAGCTTGTCTGACAGATTTTTTGGCCTTTCGTAAAGTCTGCATCTGTAGTTTACCCAGTCTGGTATTAATGTCTTGGACAGTACCCCCCCTACAACATCCCTCCCCTCCCCCTGTATACAAATTACCTGAGAGGTTGAACGTCTTCTGTAGTTTACCCAGGCGTGTGTCAATATCTTGGACAGTGCGACACAGTAACTTAGGGTCGTTACTCAGAATGACCTGTACATCTTCGGCAGTGAACCTTTTGGAGAGAAAATAGTTGATTCTGACCTGAAAGAAAAATCCACTTGATAATTTAACAGCACAGAATAAATGCATGATAAATATTTCCCTGGCCTGTTTAACTACACAGCTTATGCCTGCATCTTAGATTGCATTTATGTCAGTATCTTTTCTCATGTTTACTTATCTTTTCTAGCATCTTTCTAAATTCTTTTCAGAAAATCTATGCTACATTTAAGCTATGGTGTAACAATAAAAATGAATCAAGGGTGTATCAGTTGTGTATGCTTCTAAATTACAATCATCTGTGATAAAATTATTTCAGTTCAGCATCTTGCTTGGTCAGTGTAGCCATCTGTACTAAAAGACAGCATCTGACCTTCTTTTTGAAGAACTAATGACAAAATATTAAAAGGATAACGACTCTTCGTATGAGATCTATATTTCATAATGAATGCATTGTAAACAACTCATAGAAATAACTCATTCACTTCAGATAATTTCTTGAGATTATTACAAAAAGAAAAAAAAAATTAGAAAATAAAAAAAAACATGAACTAACTTTGAATGTAGAAATCCTTTGTTAAGTATGGGAAAATTGTCTTTTACCCCCAGAAAATTAATTTTTTGGCCAAAATAAACAGCTGTTATTCTTATAATAATATTTAAACTGTGGGTCAGTCCCCTACCTCTAGGTCATCAATATCTTCAGTTAGCAGCCATGGATTGATGGACAGATATCGTCCAACCTTCTCCACGCCATGTTTGTTCAGAAACTTCACATACGGAGCCACATCTCGATCAAAGTCCATCTTGAGAATTCTGTGCGCGATTCCTTTCTTCTCCAGCCGGGACAAGTCGACGCCCAGCGCCAGCAGCTTCTGAAGCAGCACCGACTCATTCACAAATGGAACAAAAGAGACAAACTTGCCTGTGTAAAGATTTTGAATGTCGCGCTTTCTCTCTCCCATCTTTCTTTTTGTTTCTCCACTATGGTCTCCCCTCACTGGCCGTTTCTCCATGTACCTGGTCAGGATCTGTTGATACTCGGAGAACGCCAGCGCCCGAAACACAGCTTTGTCCTGGGGTACCTCACATCCTGACTTCTTCAGCTGACTCAGCAACCACTCCGATTTAGGCTTGTATTTGGTTGTTGTTTGATAATGCGTCACTTCAGTGTCCTGTACAACAGGCAAGGGCATTTCTGTGCCAGAACTTTCATACTGCTCAGAATCCAGCTCTGAGTTGGATTGTAACTGGTCCTCATCCTTCCCATAATGCACTGGTGCTGTTACCCATGAATCATCAGTTTCTGTTGGCATTAGAGTCGATGCTTCTGTTCCTAACACTGTATCTCTACAAGAATCCTCAGAATCCATCATGGAATTTGAATCCTTTATATCTGTTGCTCTATTTGAGTTTGCCACATTTGTATCATTTATGTCTAAATCTGCTGTGGCAGTGGATGATGTCACACCACTCTGTGATGTCACACTAGTATCTGATGTTTCACCACTCTGTGATGTCACACTAGTATCTGATGTCACACCACTCTGTGATGTCACGCTAGCATCTGATGTCACACCACTCTGTGATGTCACACTAGCATCTGATGTCACACCACTCTGTGATGTCACGCTAGCATCTGATGTCACACCACTCTGTGATGTCACACTAGCATCTGATGTCACACCACTCTGTGATGTCACACCACTCTGTGATGTCACACCACTCTGTGATGTCACACCACTCTGTGATGTCACACCAGTATCTGATGTCACACCACTCTGTGACGTTATATTTTCATATATTTCCGTTGTCACATATTCCTCACTAGATGGCACTGTCTTCTCACTGTTGTTTGGAGTGCGGTGTGACCCAAGATCCATGATAACAACCTTGTCCTGGGAAACCATTTCCGTACGTGAGCCCAGTGCATCATGGGATACGGAGGAGTCACCAGGGATTGTGTACTTCTTGATGACATTTTTATCAGCGTCTTCACTTGTACACAGGAATCGTGAGGTGGTCACATGATCTGGAATATGTATTTCAACAATTTGTCAAATAGCATGTTAATTTCAGCAGTTTTACTGCATATAAATTGGTATTATTTCTGATTTCAAAGTTTATATTTATTATTTCTGATTTTCAAATTTCCTTTACACTAAAGCAATCAATATCTGCCATTCCCTTGTAAATGCAATGTCAAATTTTGGCCAAGAAGGCCATTACAGACATGCTGAAAACTCTGAGGGCAATGCAGGCTAATCGGCCTGCTTAGATCTGAATATTGCAGGCCCGGACAAGATATTGCTGGCCCAAATGTTTTTCACATTAATTTGTATATTTACCCTATTTCGCGTAAAAACTGTGCACTTTTAACTTCTGCTTTATCCACTTTAAAAGGACAGTTGAGTAGCAATTAGGTGATTAAAAATCAAATAACTGCATCTTTGAAAAAATCTTTATTGAAGAGACATTTTACTGCTCAGGTGACATCTGGGTAATATGGGTCAAAACACGGTATTTGAAATGTCTCTGACGGGACATTTTAGAGACAATTTTAAAAATTACAGTTGGTAAATGATCCACATGGTTACTTTTAAATACATTTTTATTTATATATATGACTTAAAGGTAAACTAAGGGCCAAAAAGGCATCAAAACTCACAGAAAACAAATTTTCCATAGGTAAACTGCAATTTTCCTAGACTAACCTTAAACCAGGCCTTACCTGAGCTAAATCATCCGTCTAAACTACCCAAGAGCACTTTTCCAAGTTTTGAGTTTCTTACAGCAGTTTTAGACAAAATGTCAAATTATCCCAACCTACACATGACTTTAACTTGCATCGAATAAAAGTACTGATGGAATAACAATACTGGGTGGAAAAAATCTTAATATTTAATAAAAGTAGTGATGGAATAAAAGTACTGGGTGGAAAAAATCTCAAAATTTAATAAAAGTACTGGATGGAATAAAATAAATAAAATAAAGAAGAAGAAGAGAAAGAAAAAAACTATTTATCATTGTAAAAAAAACTTTCTGCAGGTAAAATTCACTCAGTATTATAATTTATTTATATTGAAAACAGGATATCCAATTTATTTTCAAAAAAAAAAAAAAAAAAAATTGCCATACGTTCTGAATAATGTATCAAAATGTCATTTTTGTCACCGCCTAATGTCATGATGAAAATATATAATACATTCGTGTGAACAGTATCCACGGATACGAGTTCAATTTCATAATCATCAGGGTCCGAAGACACACCAAAGCCGCCTCCAATAGCTATACGCTGTTAGGAGACGTTATTCAAAGTAAATTTATTCTCAGAAATAAGGTTTGTTTTGCATACTGAGTACCTGTACACTCCTAAGGGTTTATCTTACATAGAAGTGTGATTTAACATCGTTTAAATCATAAATCGGCATGAAATAATTGACGTTTGAAAATAGACAAAACTTCTTTGCTGCACTTGAAATGACCTCCTTAGCTATAAATATGATCCTATCACCTTGCGACATGACATCAATCATTCAATATACATGAGTAGTTGTCACTGTTGAAGGGAAAGCACGTCTATTTATAGAAACTGAAATCAGACAACGCATGTATCGTAGTGTTCAGAGAGCGACTTCCGCTTGACCTACTTTTCAGTTCTGTTCGTCGAACAGTAGGTAATGAGTTGAGAATCAATTTAAGAAAATAAAAAGCGTGACTTGTACTTGTATAATTTCCCACCGGTACAATAGGTAGTTAATAAACATACTGGTTGGAAGATTTTTGAAAAATTTTAATTAATTAATTAAAATTTTTTATTAAAATAACCGTACTAGGTGAGTCAGAAATTATTGCCGGCCAAATTGGGCCAACATACACTAAAATTTTAAGAATATTGTCGGCCCGACTGCCTGATTGGTGGGTCAAGGGCCGGTGGCCGGAAATTTTCAGCATGTCTGCATTATAAAAATATTGATTGTCCATGCAGTAAATTCAATCAGACTGTGTTACATGATTCTCCTCTTCCCAACTGCTTACATTTTCCACCTGTTCCAAGCTGGCTTCTTATGACGGCCCTCCCAGAGACTAAGTGTCTGCTTATACGCAACATTCTAGAAAGAAAGAATTATATTTCAATGTCATAGTAAATGAACTTAATTACAAGAAGAAATGACAAATTTAAGTTACATACAAAGCAACTGTGGTTCTCCAGTAAGACATATAATTTATTCAAGTTTATTTGTAATTCTAATAGATATTTTAGTTTAAACTACTTATACTAAGTTCATATTTGACCAAAGTAAACTCAACGCAACAAATCATAAAGCAAATTAATCTATCGTTCAGCAAAAAAAAAAGACAGCTTTTAAAACTGCACATTTTATCAAAATTTTGATTGTAAATTCTCTGTCCCTCCAGTTAATAAAGGTCTTCTAAATGACCTACTGTAGTACTGTTACTGTAGTACTGCCAGGGCGTCTTTTCACAGCAGCCTTAATGCTAACCTTTTAAACCTTCACTGCCATGTGACAGTGTAGAGTAGATATCAGACCTAGTACCCAGCTACCAGACTCGGCACCGAATGATCCTGAACTCACCAGTAAATCGGACCACACTACCCGTTTTCAAGGTGTGTGTCAGTATGCGCTATGAAGTATCAGACGCGACACAGCTCTTGCCTAGTATGCAATGTGACAGCAATGATTCTCAGCGGGGTTAGAAAGTATTGCATCTCATCTCAAAATTTGCTCCGGGGTATGATATGCGTATGATATGTGTGAAATGCGCTGACACACACCTTAAAAACGGATAGTGTGGTCCCATATACTGTTGAATTCGGGATCATTGGGTGCTGAGTCTGGTAGTTGGGTAGACCTGGTTCTGCTTCCACAGACTATACATGAATGTATTGTATGAATTATGTGCCAAGTATTTACAGTTATACTTTCAAAGGAAAAAAAAATGTCCGTTGAAATACAATTTTTTTTGAAAATATGAAATGATGTCCTACGGTTAATCTCTTAAATACACTTCCTGAAACTATATGTTGTAGATTAGTTGGGTTTTGTGGGAAAAAAAGACTTTAACATAGGAGCTATAGTTTAAGGAAAAAAAACCTGAAGTACATTTGTAAAAAACTCGTCTTTAAATAAAGATTTATTTGTGTTGCTATGATAACTGGACTACTGCTAGTGCTAATCCTTTATTTTAGTTATCTTACGGCCAGTAAGCAAATTAATTTGGTGGTAAATTTTTACTAAAGTTTTAGCTTGGATAAATTTGTACAAAATTGTATACAACTCTACCTTAGATGAATAAATAATCGTGTACTGCAAGTGGCAAAGTCGTCATCCCAATCATTTATATGTGTGTCCTTTTTCAGGACACGAACCTCAATAGTGTAAAATTTTGCACTCAAAGTATCCAAACATTACCTCTTTGCTGGTGAGTAATAAATTTTCCATAGAAATGTCTGATCACACCATGCATCAGCCCATGTGCGTGTTGGAAATTTGATGCACGATGACGATAGATGGCGCTGAAGACACTCATAAAAACTGTGCAGCTGTACACAAAGCCCTCTATTCCGAATAATCGATAAAATAGGGGATGCAAAGTGAATTAGAAAATGAATATATTTTTACGTGAAATAACATTCTAATTGCAGTTTTCTGATCTTAAATAACATAAAAACACACAGAATTTAACTTAAATAGTTTGTCATGATAATTTTTCATTTGGAAGGGAGAAAATGCAAACGTGCCACTTATTGCATAAGCATTCTCCTTTCCAGCCTCTTAATCGACCTTGACCTCGCCTTAATAGAAGATCGAAGATGGCCAGCCGCCGAAGAACATTGTCGACTTGTTCGGATTCGAGCGATCATTTCTACACAATCAACGAGCACCCTGTGGACGATATATCACTGGAGTTTTTCTACAAGCCACACACGATCACATTATTAACAATTTCAATCCTGTGGTTGTTGTACTCAGCGTTTGTAAGGTATGAAGCGGCATGTGTTTCACGTGGTTTAATTAATGTCAGCTCTTTGCCCGGCTCTTTGCCAGAACGTGACTACCTTTTATGTCCATAACTCAGATATAATGATAAATTAATTTCTTATAGCATGAAATATCGCTTATATGGGAGTAACATTCTTTTAATTATTTGACGACTCCTTTATAAACAAAACGTCCGCTAAACCGCCCTGGGTTGTGTCCGACAGGCCTGTGATCTGTGAAATTTGCATATAAAGGGGCGGAGTTATTTTACATTGCTTTGTCAGTGTGTTGTAATATAATTATAGTAGACGTATATAGTTGTGGCCTTGATGCTGTGATGTAATGCCAGATCACATTACGTCTCATATCTTGACATATTATATTAATCTGAAGACATTGGAATACCTTGATGTCTCTGCGTTATATTATAACAGAGGCCAGGGCCGCATAAAGCCCTAGACAGTTGATTTGTAATATTTATTAATAACATGATGCCTCATGCAGACAATCAATATGTGACAATAGAGTTAATTATAGCGGCGTTGACACTGCCCACTGCTGAGAACAGGACAGGGTGATGACTGGGATTTTGATATTAAATTCCTAACATAGATTTGTGCCTAACAGATAAATGCCAGTTATTTCTAATTTTACCATCAAGCAACTTTACACATGACCTAGGAATGAGGTTGTTATCTAGTCTCATATTGTGTTTGGGAAGTGACCGTTACATATTCAATGATGGTACTCTTTGTATTCATGTAATGTTGCAAACTGCCTAATTGCTGTACTGTGCATTCTTGAGGAGTTGGAAATAAAGTGAAAGAAGCAGCAACATTTTTTTTTCTTGTGTGTTTTTGGTCTGGAAGCAGTGAGCATTTTTGTAGATGGCATTACTAGTATTTGTCATATTATAGATGTCAGCAAATTTACTGCATTTAATCAAATCAACGATTTAAAACTGTTGCAAACTTGGGACTCTGTCTATTTTTGTATGGTTATTCTCACATCACAAGGACATATGGTGAAAAGAATACAAATATTTTAATAGGCTAAGCAATAATGGTAGAAATAACAGTGTAAATAAATATAAATGTAAGTAAATGACAACATAAGTAAATGCTAGATTTTATAAATACAAAATGATAAGTCTTTAATACTAGTAAATATGATAAATAAAAACAAAATATATAAAGATATATGACTTTAGGTGATTGGGATTCAGCAGCATTGCTCTGATAATTAGTTTTATTCTTTATTATTTTGATGTGAGTTGTTTTATTTACTCATATATTCTTTTGTTTATTAAATGAATTTCATATTTTTTGTGAAATAGAATTTGGGAAAAGAAAGTCCCAGTTTATTATTTTCATTTCATTATTTTATTGAAAATTATTTTGAAAAAAAGAAGTTCAGCTCAGCAAAGGGTTTCTAGACAGTGTTGACTTGATAGAAGCTGGTAATCTTATGGCTTACCATGTTGGTGCTGAGATAAAAAGGCTTACTATTTCATCTTTGCATTATGAACATAAAACCATTGGGGATACTTCTTAAACTGTGGCAGAGCAGATTATCCAGGATTAGTGCATAGAAGGAGATATATCTTGTTTTAAAATCATCAGAAACAGTATACCTTAGAACAGACAATAGTAAAGCTGCATTCACATGAAAAATCTAAATTCTGGAAACCTAAAAATCCATTGGCGGTATATAGTGATCACGGTCTGTGCCCTGAATTCCCCACGGCATAATTAACTAGCAGCGCGAGCAAGTCGTTTCCAAAGCTGTAATTAATTCTCGGCTGTGCTCAGAGGAGATTCTGACGCCAGATATAGTTGACTGTATTCTTGGTAACAGAGGCCAGTTCCGTGTATGGAATTATACATCATCTTCTGCAAGTGAAAGTGCTGGGAGTGTATGGAATTTTGTCGACTCCAGGAGAGAAAATGGTCCGGGCTGTACCAACACATTTTAAAGGCTGGTGGGACGCTACAAATAACCTGTCACTTATAAGTACTGAATGTATTCATACTCTTTTATCTGATGGGAAGAAACAATATTGCACTGCAACCTGTAGTACCCTGTTAAACCTGGTTATTTTTATAATGCAGATCATGGTACATTGTTAAACCTTACTCTCTACCAGCGACAGATTGATTTTTCACAGATATTCACAGATATGTGTCAGTGGTTTTTCCCTATATAATCTGCCACCCTGGTAGAGGGTAGTGAAACCTTGTGTATTTATAGTAGGTTACATTCTATATTTCCAGTGACAGCAGCAGTACATGGGAAGACAATCTATGGAATGGACTGTTAGCTGTAGTGTTCTTCTTCCTCATTGTCAGCTCTCTAGTGTTCCCAAATGGTGAGTAATTGTGGTAGAGGAGAAAACATTGTCAGCTCTCTAGTGTTCCCAAATGGTGAGTAATTGTGGTAGAGGAGAAAACAATGTGATTGCCATAGGTAAGAAAACTTAGTGATTGTGGTAAGTGATAAATCATTTGTAATTGTGTTAGGTGAGAAAACCTAATTGTGTTTGGGTTGATATTTTATTGTGCTTGATATATGTTTTACCCATGTGATGCTATCAGGATACAATCCATGTTGTGTTAGGGGACAATGGTTTGTGTCTGTGATATTATTAATAACAATAATAATAATAATACATTTGTCATTTATCTTGTGACCTCTGATTGTGAACATTTACAACTGAGATTGATATTAACTGTGTCTGATTGTGTTAGCTGAGACCTTGACTGATTGTGTTAGCTGAGGCTTTGACTGATTGTGTGAACTGAGGTCTTGGCTGATTGTGTTAGCTGAGACCTTGGCTGATTGTGTTAGCTGAGACACTAGATTGTGATCAGTGTCAGGTGGTGTAGTTGTGATGTCAGTTTAGATATTTTCATGTCTGTGCTATCACCTTCCAGGTCCATTTACTAGGCCACATCCCGCAATATGGAGGATGGTCTTTGGTGAGTTGAACCATCATGAAATGATGCATAGTCTTAGTTAAATATATATTAAATTTATTAAGTTGTGATTATTTTTTTAAATAAACTTTAAAATATGTGTGCTTTTATTAGATAAAGAGTTGGATTAACAACACATAGAAGATAACTTTCAATATTTTAGGTGAAATATTTTTTGTCATTTCAACACTTATTCTGGTGAATCAAATCTCCTCTCCTAAATGACATGCTGTTGTTATCTCATTTCAAGGGTTAAGTGTCCTCTACTTCATGCTGCTAGTGTTTTTGGTGTTTCAAAGTCTCAGTGATGCCAAAGAAATGCTGTTCTTTCTCTACCCAAAACTCCGAGGATTTCGTATGGAGGAGCAGGTAGGCAAGATGCTGTTCTGTGGTATATATCTGGGGTAGTGCTGGGGTAGAGCTAACAATGGCCAGTTGAGGCAAATGCTAAAACTGACTTAAATTGGCTCAACAAAAATGGCTTGATTTGACTTGTTTTAGTCAAATTATAACCATTTGGATAACAAATTGACAAAAAAGTGGTGATTTGGCTAAGCCCAAAAAATTGCTAGTGCTGCCCCAGCATCTGTTATACTCCCTCAGTAATTATTGTACCACCAGCGTTAGCGCTGGCGGTACACATGGTTTCGGTCTCGTCCGGATCGTTCCGCTGGCTCCGCCGGACGGCTACCGTTACTGCTTCTCCTCCTAGATGGTAAGGGCCCCCGTACCCATCTCTTGGATTTAGGTCACCTATAATCNTATATATGTGTGTGTGTGTGTGTGTGTGTGTGTGTGTGTGTGTGTGTCCCCCTCCCCGATGAAACCGTCAATGTAGGCAAGTATTCTAAATCAGCAAATTGGACTATACCCCCTGTACGTCTATAAGCATTGAATCAGCTAGAGGGCAATTAACTACTGAAGGCCATGCGTACACGAAAGTTTATTACTCTAACAGTTTAGTAGGAATGACAGACGTTTAAGCCGCTTAAGTTGATAGCAATTTAGTGAGAATCCATGTGGAGATCCAAAGTAAGTAGGGTAGTCTCTTGGAATGGTCTAATTGTTTCATCTAAATAGCTATTGAAAGCACAACAATTGACAAAGGGTCGAGGCATGCAGCATCTATTTCACTGACTTGAAAATTTATCGACTCTTTCCAACGACATGGTAGAACAATTGGAACATGATTTTGACGTTTGGTCTAAATGTTGGAGCCCAGAAAAAAATGTCATTGAAAATAATTTTTGGTCGAATTGATTGCACTGGTCGAACTGTTTGACACATTATCGTGCAGCTCAAATTAGAAAAGCAGCTCCATTGGGTTATCATTTTTTTCTTGAATTTATGCATTTTAATTTTTTTTTTTTTGGGGGGGGGTTCATTTTTTCCATTGTGGCATTTTTAAAGTGTGAACTTGAACTCTCAAGGTCATGAAGCCTTACGCTTTTACTTTTGTCAGTATTACCTGTTGTGCATAATTAAAATTTGATGTTGACATTGCAGTTAAGCAAAATATTGTATTGCATCAGAATTGAGATAATATTATTTTGTGCATTATGATTTTCTGTTTTTTGCTTGTACATTTGACAGCTTTGCTGCCTTAGTTTTAAAAATTATTTTGAAAAAAAAAGGAGTTCGGCTCAGCAAAGGGTTTCTAGACAGTGTTGACTTGATAGAAGCTGGTAATCTTATGGCTTACCATGTTGGTGCTGAGATAAAAAAGGCTTAATATTTCATCTCTGCATTATGAACATAAAATCATTGATCTCCCAGGGGATTCTTCTTAAACTGTGGTAGAGCAGATTATCCAGGATTAGTGCAGAGAAGGAGATATCTTATAAGATAAATTTTAAAATAATCAGAAACAGTATCATATGCCCTTAGAACAGACAGCTGTAAATTGGGTGAAGGCATGCAAGATATGTTTGACAATATCCATGGTGGAAGAGACTAGTCTGGAATATATGGAATTATACATCATCTTCTATAATTCAGTGTGATGAAAGTGCTGAGAGTGTTTGGACTTTAGTCCAGGAGAGAAAAGAGTCTGGGCTGTAAGAACACATTTAAAAGGCTGTTGGGAAGCTACAAATAGCCTGTCACTTATAACTACTGAATGTATTCACACTCTTTTATCTTATGGGAAGAAACAATATTGCACTTCAACCTGTAGTACCCTGTTAAACCTGGTTATTTTTATAATGCAGATCGTGGTACATTGTTAAACCTTACTCTCTACCAGCGACAGATTGATTTTTCACAGATATTCACAGATATGTCTCTAGATGAATAGACGGTCATTTTGGTCAGTTTTTCCCTATATAATCAGCCACCCTGGTAGAGGGAAGTTAAACCTTGTGCATTTATAGTAGGTCACATCCTGTATTTCCAGTGACAGCAGCAGTACATGGGAAGACAATCTATGGAATGGACTGTTAGCTGTAGTGTTCTTCTTCCTCATTGTCAGCTCTCTAGTGTTCCCAAATGGTGAGTAATTGTGGTAGAGGAGAAAACTGTCAGCTCTCTAGTGTTCCCAAATGGTGAGTTATTGTGGTAGAGGAGAAAACATTGTCAGCTCTCTAGTGTTCCCAAATGGTGAGTAATTGTGGTAGAGGAGAAAACAATGTGATTGCAATAGGTGAGAAAACTTAGTGATTGTGTTAATTGATAAAGCCTTTGTAATTGTGTTTGTTGAAAAAACATAATTGTGTTTGGGTTGTTATCTGATTGTGCTTGATGTCAGCAGGATGCAGTCCTGGTTTGAGTCTCTCATGTTAATAATAATAATAATAATAATGTTAATAATACATTTGTCATTTATCTTGTGACCTCTGATTGTGAACATTTACAACTGAGATTGATGTGAACTGTGGCTGATTGTGTTAGCTGAGACCACTGATTGTGTTAGCTGAGACCTTGGCTGATTGTGTTAACTGAGGTCTTGGCTGATTGTGTTAGCTGAGACCTTGGCTGATTGTGTTAGCTGAGACATCAGATTGTGATCAGTGTCAGGAGTGTGACAGGTGGTGTAGTTGTGATGTCAGGTGGTGTAGTTGTGATGTCAGGTGGTGTAGTTGTGATGTCAGGTGGTGTAGTTGTGATGTCAGGTGGTGTAGTTGTGATGTCAGGTGGTGTAGTTGTGATGTCAGGTGGTGTAGTTGTGATGTCAGGTGGTGTAGTCGTGATGTCAGTTGAGATATTTTCATGTCTGTGCTATCACCTTCCAGGTCCCTTTACTAGGCCACATCCTGCAATATGGAGGATGGTCTTTGGTGAGTTGAACCATCACGAAATGATGCATAGTCCTAGTTAAATATGTATTAATTTTATAAACTTGTGATTTTCTTTTTAAAGAACTTAAAAAATGTGTACTTTTATTAGATAAAGAGTTGGATTAACAACATATGACAGATAACTTTCAATATTTTAGATGAAGTGTTTTTGTCCTTTCAACACTTATATTCTGGCGAACCGCATCGCCTCTCCTAAATGCCATGTTGTTATCTCATTTCAAGGGTTAAGTGTCCTCTACTTCATGCTGCTAGTGTTTTTGGTGTTTCAAAGTCTGAGTGATGCCAAAGAAATGCTGTTCTTTCTCTACCCAAAACTGCGAGGATTTCGTATGGAGGAGCAGGTAGGAAAGATGCTGTTCTGTAGTACATATCTGGGGTAGTGCTGGGGTAGTGCTAACAATGGCCAGTTGAGGCAAATGCTAAAACTGACTTAAATTGGCTCTACAAAAATGGCTTGATTTGACTTGTTTAAGTCAAATTATAACCATTTGGATATCAAATTGACAAAAAAGTGGTGATTTGGCTAAGCCAAAAAGATTGCTATTGCTGCCTCAGCATCTGTTATACTCCCTCAGTAACTATTACATTGCTTCTTGTGAAAATGCAATACTTTGAAAGAAATATTTATAAACTGTATATATGTATTATTTGTATCAAAATGTTGTAAGATATAAGTGCAAACTTCTTATATTACAGTTATAATCCCACATCCATTCACCATCAATATTCCTTATTCCAGGAATATGCTGTCAACTGTTCACAAGTCTCCTGTATGTACATAGTTATCATCTACATCACTATTCTGTATTCCAGGAATACGCTGTCAACTGTTCACAGGTCTATATGTACATAGTTATCATCTACCTCACTATTCTCTATTCCAGGAATACGCTGTCAACTGTTCACAAGTCTCCTATATGTACATAGTTATCATCTACATCACTATTCTTTATTCCAGGAATACGCTGTCAACTGTTCACAGGTCTATATGTACATAGTTATCATATACATCACTATTCTCTATTCCAGGAATACGCTGTCAACTGTTCACAAGTCTCCTTTGAGCGTCTCTGGGGGCACATGGATATTTTTGCCTTTGGTCATTTCTGGGGCTGGTGTCTGAAGGCGCTGCTCATCCGCCATTATGGCATCTGTTGGACTATCAGTGTGACGTGGGAAGCCACAGAGGTAGGCTGTACTTGACGGGGAGGGGACGGGGAGCCAATCATCAAATTTTCTGGGAATTTTTAGAGAGCATTTGCATATTTATTAATATCGTGTTTTTGTTATCATTCATAAAAGAGTTTGTAAACCATTTTGTGGAGGGAAATGCATAAAATAACAAAGATATTCAATTTTTGTGGAGAATCTTTGAAATTATTCTCAGTTGCCTAATATGTTGTTGCCTAACTCCCCTCCAGATGGCCTTCATGCACTTGTTGCCTAACTTTGAGGAGTGTTGGTGGGACGCCTGGGTCCTGGATGTCCTGCTGTGTAACGGCCTCGGCATCTGGGTCGGCATGCAGTTCTGTAAGGTGCTGGAGATGAGAGAGTTCAGATGGGAGAGTATCAAGTAAGTGTAAAGTTAATTTGTTTGAACTTGGAAAATTTCAGACCCCCGAGGGTTAGGTCTTTTGTCAGATAAAGAAGTTACCTCTGTAAAAATATTTTGCCATTGCTATTTGTAAGCATTTTGGTTGTTTGCTGAATATTTGATTGTTCATTTGAGACAACAGCTTTAACATTGATCATAAATACATGTTATAGCTATAGAGTTTTTCTTCGTTCCCTCTAGGGACATCCACTCCACCACAGGAAAGCTAAGAAGAGCGGCTCTCCAGTTCACCCCAGCCAGCTGGACACATGTCCGATGGCTTGACCCCAACTCCTCCTACATGAGGGTCATTGGGGTCAGCATACTGGTCATCTTCTGGCAGGTCAGTGCCCTCCCTTCTCTCTCTCTCTCTCTCTCTCTCATCTTGCAGGTCAGTACATATTGGATACCACTAGAAATATGCTTTATTCATTGTAGTGCATACAACTATATGGGGAGTTGAAAATGTACAAATGATAGGTAATTACATATAAGTATTCTATTAAGCAATGATATAATATGAGTAATCATATAAAATAATGTAGATATTTGGCTGAGGCCAAGTGACTCAGCCGCCAGTAGATGTCACACTGTCTTCTGGATCTCTGGAATTAAGCTGCATTATGTACCCAGAACTTCTGAATAGTTTAGCATCACTAGTAGAGCTGTCGAGTCAGGCAGCTGTCTTCTCACAGGACATACGTAGATTGCTTTCTCTGTACATCACTGGATTTTAGCTTCATTAACTTGGTAATTTCATCTGTCGTCTTGCTTTGTTTTCAATTTCATATTGATATAATATTGTTACTTTGTATTTTTCCAGCTTTCAGAGCTGAACACATTTTTCCTAAAGCACATCCTTCACATGGCGACAGGACATCCTCTCTGCATCGGCCGCCTCATCTTCATAGCTGTTATATCAGCTCCTACTATAAGGTAACTACTCAAAACGATGCACGCAAGCATGCATGCACATGTTATATCAGCCCCGACCATTAGGTAACTGCTTGAAACAATGCACACGTACGCACGCACGACGTTATATCAGCCCCAACTATTGGGTAACTACTCAAAACAATACACACATGCATACAGTGATTAAGACAATTTCTTGTAAATGAGTTTCTTATTGTTGCTGTTAAGATATAAGTAGCTAGCTTATAATTTACGGATGACTATAATACCGTGTGTAACAGTATATCTTTTTCTCTTACAGGCAGTATTATTCCTATATCACTGACACTCAATGTAGACGTGTAGGAACACAGTGTTGGTTGTACTGGTAAGATATTATTCCTATATCACAGACACTCAATGTAGACGTGTAGGAACACAGTGTTGGTTGTACTGGTAAGATATTATTCCTATATCACAGACACTCAATGTAGACGTGTAGGAACACAGTGTTGGTTGTACTGGTAAGATATTATTCCTATATCACTGACACTCAATGTAGACGTGTAGGAACACAGTGTTGGTTGTACTGGTAAGATATTATTCCTATATCACTGACACTCAATGTAGACGTGTAGGAACACAGTGTTGGTTATACTGGTAATACCAGGAACTTATGCTGGCAGAAAGCTCAATGCCTGTTATAGAAGCTTTCATGATTTAACAGTTATAATAATTGACAGGTTGAATGAACTTTTATTTTGAAAAAAAAGGCATTTTTCTTTTTGTTTGATGAGGATATTTGAAATAGCTCTTTTTGCTGTTCCAGAATTGAATAAAATGGTGTTATGATTGGGAACAAGGGTCCTTCATAATTGTAATTGTTGTCTGTCTAATTGCAGTGCTATAACTCTCACTGAGGCCATCATTTGTTTGAAGTGGGGGAAGGACTTATTTAAGCAAACTGAACTCATGTATGTCTTCTATTGGCTGGTCATTTTGGTAAGTAATGCTTTGAAAAACCCTTTATTAATATATCTGTGGTACATTGACTTGTCGTTTTGGAAAAAAGTATTGGAACTGCCTGTATATGAGCACAAATTGAATGGAATGAGAGGGCTATCATGTGAAATACACTGAACTGAAGATGATGTGAAGTTATAACAATGGGTTTTGTGACAGGCAGAGTTTGAACTGAAGATGATGTGAAGTTATAACAGTGAGTTGCTCCGTGTTTCAGATGGTCTCCAGTGTGATTTGCGTCTACATTTGTGCGGTCATTTCTAAAAGAACTCCGGTACGTATTTCTCTCTCTCTCTCTCTTTCTCTCTCTCTCTCTCTCTCTCTCTCTCTTAAACAAGGGAATGAACAAACATTAATGTAGCTCTCTTTAAAGTCCAACATAAGAAGCTGAATGCTGTGACAGTGTTACAACAGTGTTATACCTGCTACCGTAGGTGAAGTAGTTGTATTTGCTGCAGTAAGTCCGTCTATCTTCAGACACGTCCAGCGGTAGACGTCAACAGCCGTGAGAGGTCAGTCAGCGAATGTAGCACAGACATGGATGACCTCTATCAGCAGAATGGCATCATCACCAGGGGGCAGCACAAGGTGAAGATAGCCAATGGGAGCCCAGTATCTGCTCAAGATGGAGGCAAACAAAAGCAGCAGAAGGCGAGAAAGAGACAGGGCAAGAAGAATGTGCAAGGGACATAACATAATGGCAGCTTAGATGATGTGTTGCATTAAGGGATGTATATCTGTCCCAAATGATCTAAAACTGAACAGTCTTCTTCAGATCTTGCCAGAACCAGCGCTGGTCCACATGCCAAAATGGGACAGTGATGTGCAGTATTAGTTTACATTGAATTTTTTAGCTTGAGACTTAGGTTTAGGTCATGTGATCTGAACATGTGACTAAGTCATGTGACATGTTGATAACACAGTCAGACCAGCTCATTTTTAAGCTGCATGTTTTAATTAAATGTATTATGAAAACCCCATTAGGCCTCCAGATAGTTAAGAAAAGTCATGTGACAGATAGGTTCTGAATGAAGAGGTCACATGTTGATATATACGTGTTTCATTTTCTACATGAACAATTAAGAACTAGGTACAAGTGTTAAGATATGAGGTAGTGGGAAGGCCTTTATTATGATCATACTTCAGTATATCTGTACTGAATAACTTTGTTACAGTTAGTTGTTGATTTCAAACAGTTACTATACAGCTGAGGAGATGAATGTGAAGTTTTTCATTTCACTTATTTGTTGATTTTGCTCATTAATTTAAAGGCAGGGAACTTCTATGGTAAGAAATAAATTTAACTGTGTACACACCAACATAATTTCATTGTAACCAGTGTAGTTAGAAGACAGCTCAATCCTGTGTTGTTGATTGTGCTTAGTGCTGAACTTTGACATCTTTCACTTGACCACATCTAAATTGACTTTTTTTGTCAAAGTTTCCGTAGTGTTCCATATCATATCTGTCAAGTCAGTGTAGTGTAGTCTGTGACTTGATTCATATAACTGTCCTGTTCATCAATTATACCCTGAACAACGAGCGTTCTATTTAACTCCCCAATGAGGGGCGTGACCATGATATTAAAGAATGAGAATTACTTAGTCTTCAGTGTGATACTGATGTGACAATCTGATCTCAGAAATGTCTCACTGCCTGTCCTAGTGGAAGGTGACACAGGCAGTCACCAGGTAATGGTCATCACAAAGACAGTTGCTACTCTAAGGCTCCATTCAGAATAGGGGACTAACTAGTCTGAGGGTCAAATATGGCAAAGCTTACCGTCTTGTCTTCTAACAGACACTAAATAGATATCCCGTGGGGAAGTATTCAAGTGGGTCGACCATATTTGGTCCCTGTACTAGTTAGCTCAATGTTCTAAATACAGCCTAGAATTCACTTGCTGTAACAGTTACATGTCCATGCACTGATATGTGGCCAATTTGTTAGTCAAACTTGTACATAACTTGTTGTATAGGGGCCACAGTTGGTCCTTTTTGTGTCTTTTTTTCTGAATGGAGGAAGCACGTTTGTAAAATTGCAACAATGGACGATCACAATTATATCAAAGTATAACCTTTAAAATCAATAGCAAAGTTAGGTATTAATCAAGACATTTGTAAACTTTGTAAATCTCAGTTTATATTGCCAATAATATGCATAGTTACAGCTGTGTAAGTGTGGGGCATTGTATTAATTTTGGACGTAGCATTCACATTCTAGCTTTATTTTCATCTCTTGCATCTAAGATGACCACATTGTGTTAGATGTGACCACATTGTGTTAGGTGTGAACACACTGTGTTAACTGTGACCACATTGTGTTTGGTGTGACCACATTGTGTTGGATGCGACCACATTGTGTTGGGTGTTACCACATTGTGTTGGATGTGACCACATTGTGTTGGGTGTTACCACATTGTGTTGGATGTGACCACATTGTGTTGGGTGTGAATACATTGTGTTAACTGTGACCACATTGTGTTGGGTGTGAACACATTGTGTTAGGTGTCCTGCACAGATTGTGAGAATTCTAACCAGCTTTTATTCAGGTTCATTTATTTAAAATCTCATTGTATTACAGTAAGGCATGTTTAACACCATGACGCTCAGAACACAAGGCATGCTCCATTTTCTAAAGTTTATATCGAATATACTGACATTTGGGAAGGCTCACGAGATAGACATACTGGTATAGTCCAGCAGCTGATATATGTTTTCGTCTACACACACATGCACGCACGCACCTGCGTAAGATAACATTGGCTTGCCATGACATCCCAGTGTTATTAGAACTAGAAGTAATGTCTGTATTTAGTTATTGTTGACAACTGTCTGCTTTAATTTGTTATCTTACTCGAAGTAAGAGAGGTTTGCCAGTATTATTCTTTTTCTTTGACAGTTTATCATACTTGTTGTGTGAGATGTGATTTTTTAAGAAATAAATCTTCAAAATTCAAGATGCTGGTGCGTTTCTTTTCCTTGCATTGAGTAGAATACAGAGAAGCTGCCGATTGTACGAGTCTGTTGGATTTGAGGAGGTGTGTAAGTATTAATCTGTTTGCATTAAGTAGGGGACCCCATGGAGTTAGTTTGGCACAGCTAGGTTAACATAACATGTTGGAATTGAGGAGGTGTGTAAGTATTAATCTGATTGCATTAAGTAGGGGACCCCATGGAGTTAGTTTGGCACAGCTAGGTTAACATAACATGTTGGAATTGAGGAGGTGTGTAAGTATTAATCTGATTGCATTAAGTAGGGGACCCCATTGAGTTAGTTTGGCACAGCTAGGTTAACATAACTTGTTCTGATTAGTCCCTAACACAATACCAGTTTGAGCTTGTCTGACTAAATCTTTTAAGACAAAAGGGTTGCACTTCAGGGTTTTTTAATTATATTTTGATAAACAGAATATTGGGGGTTAAATCAATCACCAGTAACATCACGGAGAAATGGAGGACTTTATTATTACCAATATGTAATAATTATTACGTATCACATACATAATCCATATAGAAACAAAAATTGGATTTAAAAATCATTTTAGATAGTAAAGAAAACAATGACTCATTTTTTTTATCAAATGCAGCTAATGAACAGTTACTAATGGAGAGGACTGACAATAAATAGCTGGCTAAATAACTGACTATCCTTGAAACTTCCAACTACAACCTATACCTTTGACAGAGAGAACAGGCTATCAATAGCTGGCTAAATAACTATGTATCCTTGAAACTTCCAACTACAACCTATACATATGACAGAGAGGACAGACTATAAATAGCTGGCTAAATAACTGACTTTTCTTAGGAGTTCCACCTACAACTACCTCTGGACACACTTGTCAACAATATCATTGAAAATCATAAATAATATGCAGTTATAATTATTAAACTATATAATTCAATATATAATCAGAAATGTGTATAAAAAACTTAACAATTGGTAAATTTTATTTCATCCACTTTAAAACAATTCATACATATTTAATTGACATAATTTAATACATATATATATATATATAAATCAAATATATACCACAAGCTACTATTTCTGCAACATTGAAATTTTCTCTAAAGTTCTTCCAGTGAATAACTGCTTGAAACAAAGAACACATAAGATATTTATGACTTGTATCAAAAAATTTAAAAGTTATCTACAGTACATCTTGGGGCATTAACTTGACTCAGTGTAAAATATAATTGTAAGCAAGCATGAGAATAATGTTAATATCAACTGTCGTGCATGACAAGGACCATATTAAACACATACAAAAATCTTTACTACTAAAGCTACAAAATAACACGGTCTATCAAAAGATGATATATGTTCACTATATAGAGTACTGATAGTATATGTGGAGATACTGCACCGGTTAGTTTATGTCAGTTGGCGTAGTTTTAACCTTATAATACTCCATATAATACATATATTACAATTACTTCATATGACAATAATGCCAATATAAATAATGATTCTATTCACAAAAAGCTGGTTCATTAAACATGATCAATTTTGTTTTTTCAAAAAATTCAAGTCTCCAAGTTGGACAATGAGTCAAAGACTCCAGCACAATTCAGTTCGAAGTTTTCCCTGTGTCACCTCTGAGAAATTATCAACCAGGTGGTTTATATTATCAACCAGGTGGTTTATATTATCAACCAGGTGGTTTATATTATCAACCAGGTGGTTTATATTATCAACCAGGTGGTTTATATACTTCACAGCAATAACAAAGCACTGGAGACACATGGGGCCAGAGTTCAGCAGGTGGCCCCAAGGAAGAGGTGATGGGTGGAGCTGGCTGTGGGGGGTGGGTGGAGCTGGCTGTGGGAGGTGGTTGAAGCTGGCTGTGGGGGGTGGGTGGAGCTGGCTGTGGGGGGTGGTTGGAGCTGGCTGTGGGGGGTGGGTGGAGCTGGCTGTGGGGGGTGAGTGGAGCTGGCTGTAGGATAAGGGGGGGGCTGGCTGGGTGGGGCTAACTGTGGGTGGGGGTGGGGTGGGGTGGGTGGAGCTGCTGGGTTGGGTGAAGCTTCTTATAGAACATTTGCACACCATTTCATAAAACACTTCATCTAAAGTCTATTGTCAGCATTGTGTCGGTTGTGAAATAGTGGCAAGCCAAATTAACTCCTTGGGTCTGACTGTCTGTACCTGACTGTCTATATATGACTGTCTATATATGACTGTCTGTACATGACTGTCTATATATGACTGTCTGTACATGACTGTCTATATATGACTGTCTATACATGACTGTCTGTACATGACTGTCTGTACATGACTGTCTATATATGACTATCTGTACATGACTGTCTGTACATGACTGTCTGTAGATGACTGTCTATACCTGACTATCTGTACATGACTGTCTATACATGACTGTCTATACATGACTGTCTATATATGACTATCTGTACATGACTGTCTGTACATGACTGTCTATACCTGACTGTATTGCAGATAATGAATGTGTAAGCGTCTCCTCTTAAGATTCTCATTTCTACAGCATCCTCTATGGTCTATGTGATATATGACAAAACATTCCCCGCTATACCGCGGTGTCTTTTATCTCTGGGTAACTAAGCACCACACTGCCCCCTGGTGGTCGCCGTGTGGGGCGGATCTTCTTGGCCTGAGACTCAGGGACAAATCGCACACTCTGGAATAGTAACAGTTACCAAGGTTATCTGACAGCAATGAAAACATGCTCTCTTTTGTATTAGAAACTGTTGATGATATCACTGTTATCTTTTGGCTCAAATAAACAGAACAAGTATACTTGACTAAAACAAATAACTATTAGTCTGAATAGAATCTGATGTCTGAAGCTGTCAAAGTTCAAAGGCTTAAAATAGATTATTCCTCAATTTACCAGTGTGTACTATATACAAAGATCATTTACAGCATTCATAGAAGTATTTTACTCTTACAAGACTCTAATGTTTTATTGACAGTAATTAAGCCACTCGAAATTTTGTGATAAATGAAAATTGATCCTCATGCTATAATTAACATTTGCTCCAAGCTATGCGTAGCATACAATATCATTGCAAACTGCCACAAAGCTGCCACTTTCAACCTAATTCAGGGAACATTATCAGTCTCAGTACACTTTTCAGTATATTGTACAGCCAGAAAAGCAGGAAAAAATGAAGTCTGTGAAGAAGAGTAAAAATAAATTGGTGTGGGAGTGAAGTAAACTATGGATTGAAAATGACAGCTGAAGATGTCGTCTATGTTTGGTGAAATTTGACATGCAATTATATCTTCATCTGATTCCATGTCATGGCAAATAGGTTCACGTAAGCTTTATAAACCTCAGGAAAGATTCTAAAGGCCAGCTTTGATAACAAGGTGTTTAAGCAAACTGATTTTCTTTTAATCTCGAAGCAGCTAAAAAAATATTCAATTCATAATGTTGCATTCCAAACATTATTATATCATTCTGTGGCTATGTTTTTTTTCACTTTTACTTCTTAGAGAAAAATTAAATCATAGTTCATTTTAACAATATCATGCACATGCAAACTATTTTCTAACCGTTTTTTCTCCTTCAACAGCCTGAAGATAAACAATAGTTTAACTGAACAAAGGTCAAAGTCAGAGAAAATAATTCAAAAACTGAACACTAGAAAATGTGCACCAAAAAAAACTAAAAACTATTAAAACGTAGATAGCATAAAACAGTGAGAAAAGAAAGATTATAAACACATTTTTAGACACTAGATTAAAAGTGGAGTCTGTTATATTTTAACCCTCTTCCAGTGCATACTGTCTTATCCAGTTAGCCTGCTGTCCACAGCTGTGGTGTGTAGGGGGAGGAGAGTTAAACCTTACCTCAGGTCTGAACCACTCTGCCTCTGCCGCAGCCTCCACCTCACGCTTCTTGTCCTGGAAAATGGAGATCACATGGCTCTAAAACTCTCCATTGCTATAAATGTGCATAGTATATACATACAGTAAACCAAGTTATCAACAGAGCCACTGACAACTGACTGTAGCATATTCATGACGTGATGAAGAAGTTGCTTTCTTAGTCTCTTAGTGCATTTGTGTATGTGCCTGTGTGTGTAAGAGAGAGACTGTGAGCATGTGCATGTGTGAAAGAGAGTTTATGTGAAAGTGCGCGTGTGTGTGTGTGTGAGGAGAGAGAGACAGAGAGAGGTTTGGTTGTACTCACAATCCTCCAGACCACACAGCTGGCAGGGATCCAGATGAACAGGGACAGGAAGAGAATTGTGCCCACTATGTTGGCTCTCATGAACTCCACTGAATAATAACAGTAAACAAATGATAAAACAGTAAACAAATTGTGAAAAAGTAAAGAAATTGTGAAACAGTAAACAAATGATGAAACAGTAAACAAACTATGAAACAGTAAGAAAGCTTTACATTTACCAATTATTGTCAAGAAACCTTCACATTATAACTATAACTAAAGAACTTAGGGGACAATCAACAGATTAAGGAGCAAGAAGTTAGCTTTACATTTACTAATTACTGGTGTCAAATCGGGCAAAAAAATAAACACTATTTTATTGATTTTAAAGCAATAATAACTCTTCCTTTGAGATTCAAAATTCCGCAAGAAATACATTGTAAACAACGCCTGGAAATATATTCTATTGCATTTTCCCACTAAAACGACTGTTATTGTAGTAAAACTAAAATCTGTGCTTGTCACTTGGGCTTTCCATGCCTTTCTTCGCGGTCGACAAGTGCATCCGTTGCCAATGACGTTTAGGTGTCACGCGGATTCTCGCGTCCATTCGAGACCAAAATATCATGGCGGGAAACCCTCAGACGTAAGTTGGGAGTTTTTGTACAGTGCGTCGGATAACGAAAAGCCCAGAATTGCACACATTGTAGATATAAATGTATTTTGAGCAAAAAGACAAACATATCTTATGAATCTTATAATATTGTTATATAGTGTTGTTGTTGTCTGCTTTTCCCGCGGTTTTAAGCAGATCACCAGAAACTATCGCTCGATACGAGAGGGCTCCGTCAGTTAAAATCCCTTAAGAGATTTTAACAAAAAAACTACGTTTAGGAAAAAACCCTGGATTAACTTTGAATGCAGGAATGGGGTCGTTGACCATTGGTAAGTACGGGAAAATTCCCGTTTTTTCCAGAAAAATCGTATTTTTGGCCAAAACGAAGAGTTATTATGACTTTCAACTAATTTGAGTCCTTTAATGCTTTAACTACCCAACTTTGTGTAAGAGACTTAATAACATAATGTAAATATAAAAAACTCACCAAAGGCATCAGCAGAGAACTCTTCAATGATCCTCCAGAATCTCTGTGTCAGGGACTCTCTCTGCAGCTTACAGCTTCCCTACAAACAGAAATATTCTTGTTTCTTAAGTCGTCAGCTGAGAGTAGAAATGAGACTCCGGGTTAAAAAAACATTTTTCATGAAGTCCAGGAAAAGATACATATTTCAGAGCTTTATGGATATTCCTTGGTTCATTTGCCAACTCTAGAACTGGGTCAGAGGTCAGAGGTCAAATTGCTGACCCAGAGGTCATAGGTCAAATTGCTGGCACAGAGGTCATAGGTCAAATTGCTGGCACAGAGATCAAATTGCTGACCTAGAGGTCAGGAGTCAAATGGCTGGCCCAGAGGTCATAGGTCAAATTGCTGGCATAGAGGTCATAGGTCAAATTGCTGGCCCAGAGGTCAAAGGAACAAATTGCTGACCTAGAGGTCAGGGGGTCAAATGGCTGGCCCAGAGGTCAAATTGCTGGCCCAGAGATCAAAAGAACAAATGGCTGACCTAGAGGTCAGGGGGTCAAATGGCTGGCCCAGAGGTCAAATTGCTGACCTAGAGGTCAGAGGTCACATGACTGGCCCTGAGGTCAAATTGCTTGCCCACAGGTAAGAAGTCAGAGGTCAAATCTACCATTTTATGCTGATAATATATATGCAATTGTAGGAAAATATCTGTAGTAAAAGGGCTACAGGGGAAGAGTAAAACTCACTTTACATGCACCCTTACCCCAACACAATATCCCTGCAAACAGGGTTTTCCGTCAGGAAGATCCAGCATCAGTTTGGTGGTTTGGTTTACAAATGGCACACACTCTGCACTGGAGTTGGCCTGGCAGCACCACAGGCAGGAATCCTCCACTATAAATAGAAACATATGTAGGTCACAGTGACCTGAATATTTTATAAATAGAAACATATAGGTCACAGTGACCTGGATATTTTATAAAAAGAAACATGTAGGTCAGTGACCTAGATATTTATAACAACATATATTGGCTTACCTTTATCACATTCATGTTATAACAACATATATCAGCTTACCTTTATCACAAACACAGGGTATCTGAGAAGGAGTAAGTGTCTCACAAAATGGCTGACATCTTCCATTTTTGCACTTTCCTCTAGAATAAGGAGTACAACACTTAAATTTTACATAAATTATAGGAATTAATTATATGTACATTTAAATAAGCATCCACAAATAGGTTCAATGTTATCTGGAGTTCTCTTCTTGTGTAAATCACTACAGGATTTCATCAGACAAAATCTAGCAAGTACAATTTCTTCAAATCTTCCTCACTATCAGGTGACTAGTTAACCAATGGCATATTGATAGTTGTTGATTCAAACATCGCTCCATATCCCTTTCATTCATGCATGTCAATGTATGTGTATCGTGTATGAGCACATGCATGTGTATACTCAGTGCATGTGTGTATATATATATTCAGTAAGTGTACAGAACAAGTACCTGTCAAAGCAAGGATCCCCATTGTCTTTCTTAGGAGGTGGTGGGCAGTCCTTATCTAGACCAGTGAAAGCAGTTAAGACAGCAAACAACCTCATTGTTCTTACTATAATATAATAACTTCAATAATAATGTTGGAGGTGGTGGACGGTCAGTACTGAGAAAACTGGCTATCAGTTTAAAGGTAGGCAAACAACTATGATCTTAGAAAAAATACATACTAATCATTTAACTCATTCTGAACAGTTAATCACATGTTTTACTGGTTTTGTGTTCTAGAGTATAACAGAGAAATAAAATTTCAGAAAGGTGAGATTTGCATTATCTGCAGAAATGTCCATTTCTAACTACATGTATAGCTAGGCTGGGGTAGCGCTAACACTCGCCAATTTAGCCAAATGCTAAAACTGGCCTTAATTGGTTATACAAAACGGGCTTGATTTGACTTGTTTTAGTCAAATTATAACCATTCTGATAACAAATTGACCAATAAATGGTGATTTGGCTAAGCAAAAAAAAAAATTGCTAGCGCTACCCCAGCTAGGCATGTGTAAACTTTCACCACATAATCAACATGTTTGAAACATAAGGACAAGATTAATGGGTATTACAAGGATATTTGCAGTAGGCATTTTTCTCGCAGGCGAGATTGACGTCTGGGCGAGCCTCACACAACTGCGTTGGTCCTGCAATCACACACTGATGTGTACAGCATGCGTGGTTGATGTGACTGGAAAACAAAGCACGGATTACACATAACATAGCTTAAGCACTAATTTTCCTGTGAAAAAAATTTATCAAAAAAAAAAATGAATTTATAGTTTTTCAAATATATATTTGTAAAAGAAAACTTTTTTAGACTGTTCATGTTGTACATCTCAACTGGTCAACTTTGCCTCCTGTACCTGCACTGTGCCCCTTGTCTCAAAGTGCATGATTCCGTACAGCAGTGATCCGTGCCTGATTTTCCCTCCAACCCAGCATCACACTCTTCATTCTCCTCACGGATGTAGTTGCCGCAGTAACTTTGGGACGGCTCTGAAACAGACATGGAAAAAGTAAGAAATTCAGGTGAAACATGGTATATTTATCTATATATGCTTTTGTTATAAAATCGTTCTAAATGGTTTCCTTCATTTAAAAATGGTCTTAAACATTGAAAAATGGTCTTTAATGTTGTATGTCTGCACGCTCCTACCAAGCTTTCAGGACAAAAATTTTTGTTAATAAGGTAAACAAGATCTATTTCTTTCATGGGTGCACTTTTTAGCTACTTCAACATTTAAAACCCAATCATCCAGAAACTCACCTACAAAACAAGAGGCAAACTTAGCTCTCAACACCTCCCCCATAGCTCTCTTACTACATATACTTACCTACAAAACAAGAGACAGACTTGGCTCTCAGTACCTACCCCATAGCTCTCTTACTACATATACTTACCTACAAAACAAGAGACAGACTTAGCTCTCAGCACCTCCCCCATAGCTCTCTTACTACATATACTTACCTACAAAACAACAGACAGACTTGGCTCTCAGCACCTTCCCCATAGCTCTCTTACTACATATACTTACCTACAAAACAATAGACAGACTTGGCCCTCAGTACCTCCCCCATAGCTGTCTTACTACATATACTTACCTACAAAACAGGAGGCAGACTTGCCTCTCAACACCTCCCCAATAGCTCTCTTACTGCATATACCTACCTACAAAACAAGAAGCAGACTTGGCTCTCAGCACCTCCCCCATAGCTCTCTTACTGCAAGGGGAGAAGATCTGCAATAAGGGGAATACACATATATCAAGACTTCTCAAAAAGGAAATATCAATTATCAATAAGAAACTTATGCCTTGCCAAAATTTACTCCAGTACTTAACAAAAAATAACACATTTTTGTGTACATGGATCAAGTTCAATAATAGTGTTCAATAGTATGTGTACATGATATGTATTAAGTGTTATATTACCTTGTTGTTTTTCTCATATCCTGACACAGAGTACGTGTACATGATGTGCTTGCCGCCATTAAAGGCGTTGGGAGAACATTCCTCAGAGTCTGGGTCGTGTTCACTGCCCCAATTATGACCTTGACACAAAAAAACAAGGTCATGGTTAAGATCCAAAGAGTCAGAATAAGCAAGTTAGTATAAGCAATGTAAATACTAAACAAGTTCCATGAAAGCTGACTGCTTGAAATAAATGATGGCATATCCATTGATTCAAAACCATTTTTCAAATCAAAAATCCATCAAATTTTCATCTAATTATCAACAACAAAGTATGTATGCTTTATTTCAAAAATACTAACTTTACTAACTGAGAAAGTAACAAAAACTTCAGTTTAGGAACAGTGGACATTAGCAAAACAACGAATCTAAATCAGTTTAAAGTAAACTACCTTTAAACAGACTTACCAAATTCTGCCATTGCAATCATGTAAGAAAGAAAAACAAAAAATGTATCAGTATTAGTAAGTTAGTAAAACCAATGTCAAAACATTTAACAATAAAGATAAATAAAATCATCAACAAAAAGTGAACTTTCATGTTATAAAATAAATAAATTGACCCCTGAAGTTCTATTTAAATCTGCCATCAAATTTTTTCCAATTCACATTCATCCCTCAGTCACGCATAACATCTCATTGTCACACCTAACACATCTCACTGTCATATCTAACACATTCACACCTCACTATCACACCTAACACATTCACACCTCACTATCATATCTAACACATTCACACCTCACTATCACATCTAACACATTCACACCTCACTATCACATCTAACACATTCACACCTCACTATCA